TTCAGTCCCACTCCCTAAACTCCTGAAAGATGGCCAATGATTTAATCACCACCCCTGTGTAATGAAGTCTCCATGAAACGCCAAAAGGACAGGCTTTAAAGAGTTTCTGGATGTCTGAAGATATGGGGATTCCTGGAGGGTAACATACCCAGGGAGGACATGGAAGCTCTACACTCCCTTCCCATAGCTCATCTATCTGTGTCCTTTGCAATACACTTTGTAATACTGGTAAACATTTGTTAGTGTTTCCCTGAGTTCTGTGAGCCACTCCAGCAAATTAATCAAACCCAAGGAGAGGGTCATGTGATCCCTGATTTGTAGCCAGTCGGTCAGAAGCACAAGTAAAACAACCTGGCGTTTGCAATTGATATCAGAAGAGGGGAGCAGTCTTGTGGGACTGAGCCCTTATGTGGATCTGATGCTATCTCCAGGTAGATAGTGCCAGAATTAAATCAGAGGACAGTGTTCAGCTAGTGTCCCCTGCAGAACTGATCGCTTGCTTGTTGGTGGGGAGAATTCCTCACACATTTGGTCACAGAAGTTTTCTGTGTTGATGGTCGTGACGTGAGAGCAGAGGAAAAAGAGTTTATTTTTTTTCCTCCCAGTCACTCACTCATGATCCCACCTGGACATGCTCTCCCCTTCTTACAAGGCTTTCTGCTATACTTAGCTCAAGGCATCCTGCTATACTTAGCTCAAGGCATCCCCCGAACAGCCCACCTGTGGGACCTGGGGACAATGTATAAATAATGCTGCATCTCTTGTGGTATCACAGCTAGGTCTGATGCCTGGCTCCTGGGAAGACCATAACTCAGATAAATAGTCAGCAGGAGACACATTCCAACTCAGAAGGGCTCCAGGGTGAGTCCAGATTTCCTGTTACAGCTCCAGAGAAAATCTTGTCCCTATGTTACATGCCACATGGCTCCAGCAACAGCCAGAGACTTCCTCCTGTGGCACTGTCCAAAGGTGGGAGGAAAGATCTTAAGAAATGCAACAGAATGCTGTTTAGTCATGCTACTAGGTCCTCTCACACAAAAGAACAGTGATGTGCTATCAGCAACTCTAAGGGAATTGCTTACTGTACTTCTTAGAGCAGCAAACTCGGATAGGCCCTTGTTTCATAATGACTGCTTTTGAAACTTTTTTATGGGTTGATATTTATGGGGTCTGTGATGCGAATGCAGTGGATGACTTTATTGTATATTGAAAATGGATCCCTGGAAACCTCCTTTCAAGGAGCAAGCTTTTGCCACTGATTTTAGAAGAATATCTGTGAGTCATCCATTTGACTATCTGAACAGATGCTGCTGACTTTTGGCATCATAGCAGAAGGGATGAGTCCCCAAGGTGTGTTGCAATCAGGCAGCGTGTGCGGCGGGTCAGCCCAGGGAACTGTAATTCTCAACCCCAGACATGTATCGAAAGGGAAAGCAGTAACGGAGCCGTTGCCCTGCTGACTGGTAGCGTGCTCCAGAGCCGAGCTCTAATTAGTGGCTTCCTTAACAGCCAGGCTGTGTATATCCATAAAAAGCCATCTGACCACTAAAGGTGGCCTCGCCCACTCATTAAATTGAGTTAATGGTCAACCTTCTGCCTGAACCACAAAAATCCTGCTGACCCCTAATTTCTGGTGGAAATGGCCTTTATTCCCTCTAACCCCGAAGATGAAGGTTTCACCGTGTTTCCTTCACTGGCCCCAGTCCAGAATTCAAGCTAAATGTGGTTCTTCCAAAGGTGTGAACTGAATGAAAGAAAACGTCTCTTCTTGGGCCCAGGCAAGCCTGAGAGGAGGGAGTGAGTGTGAGCGAGGTGTCCTCCTCATTTCCTGCAAACATGGCTGCAGGGACTGTCCCTGGAATACGGGTTCCCAAGAGTCCCTCCTTCCTCAGGCAGCCACACCGTGTCTTCACCCATTTTGTGAAGTGCACCGCAGAGTGCCATTTCCCTCCACTACCACACCTAAGGCGGTTCACCTCTGCATCCCAGCCACTCTTCCCTCCTACAGCAAGTGCAGTAGGCTTTGTTTCCACCCTGGGTCTGCTTTCCGAAGTCCACCATGCCTTCTGACCATGTTTTCAGTCATCCCGACTTCACTCGTGTTTTTTTCTACACACTCTCTTCTCCACGGTCAATCCCCAAACCTCTGCCACCCCCAGTTCTAGCAGACGACCTTGTCACATCCTTCTGTGAGCAGGTCTGAGCTTCCTTGCATCTCACTTTTTAAAAAATTATTATTTTTTATTATAAAGATGTGGGGATACAATTCAGGGTTAGATGTGCAAACACTGATCATGCAGCTACCCTTGTTGATGAGGTGTGCCCCTCTCTCCCTTAGCAGTTTCCCTCTACTGCCAGTCCCATCCCTGCCTCCCCTGACAGTTTCCCATTACTGCCAAATGCTTTCTTATAGTATGATAATTGTTCAAGGTCCGCTGATGTGTGAGAACCTATGGCACTCTGTTCTTTTTTTCTGTGATAGATCACAGTATGATCGACTCTAAATCTGTCCATTTATCCTTCTTTATGGCTGCATAATATTCCACCATGTATATGTACCACATTTTCTTTATCCAGTCCAGCTTCGATGGGCAACATGGTTGGTTCCATGTTTTCTTTGCATCTCTGTGACTTGGATTGCAGATGGGTCCTCTGAAGCACATTCTACTCCAAAGCACCTTGTCTTGCTTTCTCTTCTAGGGTGAGCCTGCACCTAGACTCCTCTTCTTCAAGGTCTGAGATATCTTCCATTGTGAGCCTCCCTCAGCTGTGCACGTATCTGTGTGTTCCCCATTTGTTGGCAAACATGAAATGAGCCCCAATCAGACAGAGGTGGGCACTGGTCTAAGGATGTAAAAATGGATACCTCTCAGGACTGGCCTTGAGGCCTCCACAACCTGTGCCGACGCCCTGTATCGTCTGTGCCCTGGTAAGTGTAAGGCCCAGCGTGTGAGGTCACGTGGTATGCACTGGCTAGGGAAGCTGGGGAATGTCAGTTGATTCAGTACCTTAATTCCTTGGCAAGTGCCCACTCGGAGAGAGCAGCAGGGTGTACTGGGATGAGAAGCTGGAACTGCAGTTACAACTCACTGTCAACCAAGCTTTTGCCTTATTAGCTGTGTGACCTAGTCAAGTCTCAACCTCTCTCAGGAATGGCTTCCCACTGGTAAAATGGAAAGCAAGAATAGTCTCTCAAGAGTAGTAGGAGTATTGTAAGAAATTGAATAAGACGGTCATGAACTTGTCCAACACTGTGTGTGCAACAAGCATGCTTTTTGTCTATTTTTTTCCCTTTCCTTCCTTTCTACTTCCCTCCCTCCCTCCCTCTTTTTTTCCTTCCTCTCTCCTTTCCTTCCCTCCTTCCTTCCATTCTCTCTCTCTCTTCCTTCCTCCCTTCTTACCTCCCTTCGTCTTCTACCCTTTTTATCCTTCTTTCCTTTCTTCTTCCTTTCCTTTGTTCCTTCTTCCTTTTCATTCCTTCTTTCCTTTTCTTTCTTCTTCCTTCTGCCTTTCGCTCCCTCCCTTCGTATCTTCCGACTTCTCTTCCTTTCTTCCCTTATTTCTCTTGTTCCTTCTTTCTTTTTGTTTTTTTGTCTTTCTTTTTCTCTTTCTCTCCCTCCGTCCTTCTCTCCCTTCCTTTTTCTTTACTTCCTCTCTCTTTCTCCTTTTTCTTCCCCTCTTCCCTCCTTCATCCTTCCTCTCCCCTCCCTCCCTCCCTCCCTTCTTGCTCTTTCACCCTCTCTCTCCCTCCCTTCCATTTTCTCCTCCCTTCCTGCCTTTCTTCCTTCCATTGTTTCTTCCTTTCCTTCTTCTCCTCTCCTTCCGTCTTCATTTGGTCCTGTTAGGGCATTAGGCTCTAAGCATAGAATGACGAAAAAGCAGAGCCACAGTCCTTTTAATAAGCTGCTGTTTCAGCAGTGGGGTTAAAAAAAACCCAGCTCTATGAAGAGGTTGACTGTAAGGAGAGTTGTAGCAGACATAAACCATGCTCTGGTGGAGAAGAAGAAGGTAATATTAATTCTGCCTAAGGGAACAGAAAAGGTGACTGACCTTTCAAGGTAAGGTAGAATCCTGCCTGGAACTCACATCTTTGCTCAGCGTTAGCTCTGAGGCCAAACCCAGACTCTCAGATGGTCTTTGTACTTCAGCATACAGATTTAACTTCTGCACACAGAAAGGAAATAGAAGCAATAAGCTGGGGGGAAAAAAGGGCACGGGCTGGTGGTGGCTCATGCCTGTAATCTCAGCACTTTGGGAGGCTGAGGCTAGAGGACTGCATAAGTCCAGTGTTCAAGACCAGCCTGGACAACTTGGTGAGACCCCACATCTATGATTTAAAAAAAAAAAAAGAGGGCATGGTGGTGCACACCTATAGTTCCAACTACTTGGAAGGCTGAGGTAGAAGGATACTTTGAGCCTAGCAGGTCGAAGCTGTAGTAGCTATGAGAGTGCCACTGTACTCCAGCCTGGGCATCAGTGAGATTCCTACTAGAAAAATAAAATAATAATAATAATAACAGGATGTGGGGACAGAAATGTGCCACATACCTAGAACGCTTTGAGAGTCTTATCCATTCAGATATTCTCTTTTTCCTTTTAAATATAAGAAAACAAAAACTCTGTAACACTGGGTAATATGTTCAACATTGCAAAACTGCCCCTGGTGGAGCCCAGATGAGACCCATGTCACTTTACTCTCTGACTACAGATCTTTCTGCAGCTGCCTTACACGGTAGCCTTAAAAGACAGTAGATAAGAGATAGACAGAAAGGTGGAAGGAAGGAGGAAAGGAAGGAAGGGAGGGAGGAAAGAGAAAAGAGGGAAAGAGAAGGAGGAGGGAGAGAAGAAAGGAAGGAGAGAAGGGGCAAAGAGAGGAAGGAAGGAAGGAAGGAAGGGAATAAGGAAAGAAAAAGAAAGAGAAAAGGGGCAAAGAAGGAGGGAGAGAAAAAGAAGGAAGGAAGGAGGAAAGAAAGGGAGGGAGGGAGGAGGGATGAAGGGAAAATGCATCCCAACAATCTATTGCACTGGTAATAAATAAGGTCTAAATTCCTTCAATGCCTGTGAAGTCCCCTATGTGTTATCAAATCACTCAGCGAACCCAGCTGCATGGGTCTTATTCTTCACTAAGGACAGAAATCCACTAAGGACAGAAATCCTGCTGAAATTGTTCCCCTCCCATGTCATCTGCCCTGCCATGCCATCTCTGAAATCATCTGACAGAATAAAGTGGATTGGACAGTTGGTTGCCTAGTTCATTATTAGTTTTGTCAGGCCTGTTCTTGCAGACTTGACTGCCTCATGTTTGCAACTCTCCACTGAGACCAGGGGGCTGGGCCAAGGGGGTTCTGATTCACAGGGACCTGTGCTTGAAATGAGATCGATAAAGAGACATTATTCCTTCGATCAGACCCCAACCAACTTTTTTCAGTTTGAAATAGAATCTTAGATACACATCATTATAGTTTTATTCTTATTGGTCACATCTATTTGGGGATATCTCATTGTACCCATTTGCGAGTAGTTATTGGGCAAAACAAAACAAAGAGGATATTTAATGACTGGAACAGAATTAGCTAATAAATAAAGGAAATAGCAAAAATTGCTTTGATTCTATAAAAGCATTTGATTGTATCATTAGACACTCCACTGAGAACCCATTTTCTATATTATATATTATCACACCCCGAGTCCTATTTTTATTTCTGTTGCTTCGTGAAGTTTGTGGTGTTTGTATTAGAGGCATCATAAAAATTACAAAAGCCATAATTGACTACAGCATCTGACTAACAGGAATGATAGCACTGGGCAGGTGGGTTGCCAGGTTGCTGTAGCCTGTGGGCAAAGGTGGCCAGCCTCTTGCCTGGGGATAATGGGGGGGGGGGGGAAGAAGTGGGGACAGTAACAGTAGGAGGGTTGGAAGCACGCTGTACATAAGAATTTGTTCCCAGCCAACCCCCTCATATCCACTCCTGGCAGATGGCCTGGCCCTATGGGGAAGGTTGCCGGACGACCATCTGAGTTTCTCAGAAATAACATGAGCAGGAACCACTGCCCTGGGAATGGACATCTCTATAACATCTCATTTCAGGGGTTAATTTGAACAGGTACCATTGGCATTTGCACCTTTACCCAAGACCAGAGTAAAAACACAACCCGTCCTCTGCTTAGCAATCGAGGATTCTAAGAAAGTTAATTTTAAAAAATGTTTCTATTTATAGAAGAAAGAGAGGAAAAGGCAGAGAGAGGGGAGAGATCGGCAGGGATACAGAAAGTTCACTGGATTTGTATAAGTTTTCTACTCTTACACGTCTGTACTTCTAGGTTTCTGAATGCAAAGAAAAGGGGGGGGGGGAGAGAGAGAGAGAGAGAGAGAGAGAGAGAGAGAGAGACAGAGAGAGAGAGAGAGATCCCAGCTGCCTGCTAGGCTTACACCGCCTTTCGAATTCCAACCCGAACACAGTTTGGCTTAGGTTTCTCCACGGTAGCTAAACCAAGCTGTCCACAGAGAGGAACGCCAGGGGGGGCCAATTAGGAAGGACGAAATTAAAGAAAAGAAGAAAAAAAGAAGAACCCGAGATGAAAGGTCCAGCGCGGAGCGAGTGACTCGCCGGGAATGGCAGCCCGGCCG